CTTGTGTCCAGAAGTGGTAGTCTTAGGATGACACCACTTGTCTATAGCGGTAGACAAAAAAAAAATTGAAACTACACACACAGAAATAGTTTCCAAGAAAAGCTCAAAAATCATGTGTCTAGGTGGTCTGCATAAGTGTGTGTGCGGGTGTGCGTGTGCATGCGTGCATGTGTGTGTGGGTGTAAATTTCTCTTTCACCTTGTCTCTTCCTCCTTTATGGTGTCAAGTGTATTTTTCACTGTTTGGGTAAGTGCAAATTTTCGTATTTTTTAAAATATAAAGCCAGATATCCTTTCTAGCCAATAAGGGCCATTAAGCCATTTCAGTCATTTCAATCCACAATTAGTAAAGTGTTCAAGGAAGTCAAACCAATTTTAGTATCTGCCTAACTAATAATGTAACAGGCAAGTTTAAAAAGTACAGGTTTTTTAAGTCAAAAAGTATATCCCAAAGCCAAAAAGAAAAGGTATGATGATTGTCCATATCTATTTAATAATTAGGACAAAACTTAGCTCTACTGAATAGATTGATCAAAACTAAAGATAAGTAGTTACTCTCAAATTAAACATAACATAGTATATGTATAAATATATCAGATTCCATGGGACTTTTCAGTAGGCTGAAAGGACTCAACATTGTCCCTTATATTTTTCTAAGTACAGAATATATTAGAAGCTGATTTTCTTACATCTTTCCACTGAACCAAACTATTACAATAATTCTTCAATTGAACTCTTTATTTAAAACCTCACCCTCTTTAAAGGTGGTGAATCACAATAATGCAAGGTGACTAAAACTGTTAGCTTATACTGGGGCAGTATAAGCATGACTTCCAACACAATTCTTAAGATTTAGGAAAATTTTTCCAGTTTAGTGTAGCCTGAGCCTTTAAACAATTAAAATATATTTCAATCAAAGATTCCACATAAAAATAAAATTTTAAACATAATTAATTGAAATTCTTCCCAAAATTTAACAATTAAAAGGAGGAAAGTACACTAAACTCACTCAGGCCAGTATCCTATGCTACCACCATCCATATAACATAGTCCAATCAAAGATACTAGAACAAGTTTGTTCAAAAAAGAACTTCAAATCCATACTCTTAAAAAACACAGGTCATCATTCAAAATTATAAAGCTCCCTTACTCATTTACTCAGAATTATAAAACTCACTATTCCAAAGTGTGTTTTTAATCATTTTTAAATATAAATATGCAAACTCTTTAAAGGTAAGATTGATTCATCACTGGGGGAAAATATAATGAAACATTCAACATGATTATTAAAGTTATTCTAAGATGAAAAATTAATTAAAAATTAAATTAAATTTTAACTTTTTTCAAGTTATATTCTAGGATGAAGAGAAAAAGAAACACTTAATGTTACTCAATTTTGTATTCATGGTAGCCATTATAGTATATCCCCCAGCTACTCATTAACCTTCTTTCCCTAGACCCACACTGACTCCATGCACTGGTAATCACAGAACATCATCTTCTGCACAGTGGAGGGTAATTTGCAATTAACAATGGAATTAAGTTGGATGAAGCTTTCCTTATGTGCGTTCTTTGAGTAAAGGTAAGATTTGGTGATAAGGACATCAATCTGCTTTCTTGCATCACTTTTCTCCTTTTATCCACAATATATAATTAACCTTTCCTTGACATTGTAAAACATGTCATTAATAATTACCATAAATATTCACCTCATATATATCATCTCCAAAGCACCTCATAATAGTAATAACAGCTAACATTTAAGGAGTGCTTACCATGTGCCACACACTGTTCTAAGTGATTGTCATAAGTTAACTCAGTTAATCTTCAGAACTCTATGAAGCAGGAATTACTATCCCCATATTATAAATGGGGAAACTGAGTCAAGGAGAGGCTGTGAGGTGCCCAGGGACACATGACTAATGATTGGTAGAGCTGGTATCAGTCACGATAGGAAAGGACCACATATCCTAAGTCAGAGCTCAGGACCAAACTACAATAGAACTGGCGCCCATCATATATGTTCACCTTCCTTGACTGCACTAGGACCAAGATAAAGGCATTAACAGGGGATATTAAAATCTACAAAGTATAATCAAAAGAGTAACTCCACAATTAAGCAGGGGAATATACAGAAAACACAGTTAGGACTTTTGGTAAACTCCTGGGCAATTTTCACAGGGAAAAACAAGGCCTAGCATGACAGGGTAGGTGCCCCAATATGAGAGCCTAAACAACTCTATCACCTCCTCCCTCAAACTCATCACTGTTTTACCTTCATGTCTTATTTGATTCCCCAAGTAGTCTTTTCAACCAGAAAACTATTTGTTCACTATAATCCTCTAAAACTGACTGACACAAATCTATCTTCTCTAAGTTTGAGCAGCAGAAGTGAGTCTTCTGAAAGCCTCAATATCCGTAGCACAAACTCATCCTTAAGTTTCTAGCATAAGAGAACTGAGAGATCCCTTGGAATACAAAGAATTACGAATTTGAGAGCCTCCCCACGGAATTCCTCAATGTCTGCAGTTAACTGGAGACCACCTAACAATCACACTGGAGAAGACATACTTCACCGAACATAGCTTCAGAATATATATCTAACTGTTAGGTTTGTGAGGAAACTTCCCCTTCCTCTTTATAGACATTTCTACACAGCAGAATTTTTTGTTTTCTAAACAATGGAACATATATTCCTTTTGGGGGGAGTTAACTTAAGAAATTTTCCTACTGAAAATATTGAGGAAATTTAAGTATCCAATCACCAGCAACTTTTGTATTCATGAATTTCACAAAATAGGGGGAAAAGGAATTTAACCAATTTTTATATTACTCAGAGAAGTCTTCAATGAAAAAAGCCTAACAATATCACAGGCTTCTTCATAACTTTGTTAATATTGTTGGGAAACACTGGTCATATAATTGATGTTTGACTAACTCAACAGTTTCACATCATTGAAGAATAACAAACATAAACTCACAACTATTTTAAATAAAACATAAATAGAAAAAAGAAATACCTCCAGTTCCACCAGAGCTGCAGTCACTGCATCTGTTGCAAGAGCACCAGCCTGTAGCTTTTCAATTGCCTATGAGACCAAGGGGACAGATTATTCATTGTAAAAACTACAGCTTCTCAAACATACCCAGAAACTTTCCAGAGGCTTACAGAAGTGTGGGAGACATTTAGAGTTAATAAAAACTGATCACTAGTTCCATTCCATACTTCAAGACATAAACTACTTAGATTTAAAACAAACAAGTGTTTACATTCAGGATATCTGATGATATAGCTCCCTTACTATTATCCAAATTAAAACAATGAATAAAATCTATTCACTAAATGCAAAGTGCAGGGAATTTAGTAAGTGAAAGGGCTTTATTCATCATAGGGCAATTGAAAATAGCCAAAGAAAGTATATGAATTCAGTTTGGTTCAAATATCCTGCTAATTCATATTTTATATAAATAATTGAATCTCAGACTAAGCTAACGCTGTCTCCTTCACTGTTACTACTCTCCCCACCCCTAACTATAAAAAACAGTGACTCTCAGTCACAGAGGCATTTCAGAATGGACACATACAAGTGGTAACAGCATTTTTGATAGTAATGTATTTCATATTGAGATAAACAAATCATATCCTTTTGTAATATAAACTACAGAGAGTAAAGGTCTATAAAATCACCTTGCTTCTTGGGTTAAATTAAGACAGGAAAAAAAGAGAAGGAAAACTGATTTCTAAATGAACTATTAAAGCTCCAATTTAGGCAACAAAGAGAAAGCTCAAAAACTAAAAACTGTTTTTCTCATTAAAGTTTTAAGAAGTTCCTTCATTGTATAAATTGAGGAAGCTGATTATGCACTCCAAACGTATTAAGTTTCTAGGACTATACTTCTATAAAAGTAAAACGTACTTCTTTTCAGATAATAAAAAGATTTCACACTTTGAAAACAAAGATAAAAAATATAAAACAGCTTAGAACTTTTAGCTTTATTATAAATTTTTAAAAAACAGTAAAATCCCTAATACAAAATATTCTTCTTTATTTATGGAATTTCATTCATAAGAAAAGCTTAGATCTCTAATAAAGTATAACCTTTCTTTTAAATGGTATGTAAAGATATATGAAAAGAGCTGAGAGAGAACCATATTTACTTGATATAGAATATCTAATTAACATTATATTTGCATAAAAAGTAATGAAAGGTTTGCCTACAAGAGTATATAATCGAGATCAAAATAAAAACAAATAATATTTCTTCTGGGTCCACTCCTGCCTCCACATTAAGTATTCAACAATTTAGCAAAACCTCAAAAACCAAAGAGAAAAAAAGCACAACTGAGTACAAGGGCAAAGCCAAACTCAAGAATGACAATGAATTTGCCATGATACAAACTACGTGATGAAAAACAGAAGGAAAAAGTACCAGATAATCTCCCTAAGAAAAGCACCCATTTTAACTTTTTATTATTTTTTTTTTCCCTTCATAGAAAGATACATTGGCCACCTTTAAGTTGTTTTCCCTACCCTTTCCATAGAGCTCAATACCTTCACAAAGATTTAAAAATACATGATTGTGTGCCCACAATTCCAAAAATACAGACTTTAATCTGGGAAAGTAAGGGAAAGATCTAAGCATCATTTGGAGAAGAAAAAACACAAAACAAAACAAAACAAAAGACCTCACAAATAAAAGCAAAATAATTTTGTGGTCGACACCAACGACTGTCTTATAAATCAAACTTTAAAATTTTGAATTTCAAGGTAAAGCTGCTTTATGGTCAAAACTGAAATGTTTCAATCATATACATTCTCTTCATACCTTCTGACAAGCTCGTTTGCATACATGTTTATATTCCTTGGCTTTGGATTCAGAATGATAACCTGCACCTGTAGTAGAAAAAAAACAACCAATTGTTAGTTACCATTAAAATATCACAGACATTGCTTATACTATGTAAATAGTCCATATACAGATGCTCTCCTAGTGACAATAAAACTACTGTCCTAACTGTACGGAGTTTTAAAATCTAACAGCTTCTTTCTCCACCATAAGCCTTTTTAATACCATGCCTTATCTCCTCTTTCAAAAGCTATTTTCCTGCAAGAGGCACTAGAAACAGCTCATGTCCACAAAGAGGCTTTATCAACGTCACCTCTCCTCTTGAAAACCTCTCTCCAAAGTCAGGAGTTTTTTTGGTCCGGAGTTGATAACCCTGGCAGTGTCAGGGACAGAGTCCCTTAAAGTTCCTCTCTGTTGACCTTTAGAAAGCCACTGCCATTTGGGAAATTACTATTCAGAATCCAGAATTCTTAAGAGTAACTTCAGAAAACTAGGTAGTGTCTACATAACATTTGAAGTTGAGGGGTGTTACATCCAACCTGTCCAAAACCACCACCAATACCACCACTCCACCCAAACCTTTACACCCTCTCACCTCCTGGAATGTAGCTAAGGGTGTCTTAAACCTCAGTGACGGTATATTCAGGACTGACTATTAGAAATCCTTGGGGCTGGCCCGGTGGCGCAGCGGTTAAATGCGCATGCTCTGCTGTGGTGGCCCAGGGTTCACAGGTTCGGATCCCAGGCGCACACCGACACATCACTTGTCAAGCCATGTTGTGGCAGCATCCCATATAAAGCAGAGGAAGATGGGCATGGATGTTAGCCCAGGGCCAACCTTCCTCAGCAAAAAGAGGAGGATTGGCATCGGATGTTAGCTCAGGGCTGATCTTCCTCACAAAAACAAACAAAAAAAGAAATCCTGGTGGTCCCTGTCTCTTAATAAACACCCAGCAACTTCCTCAAGAGAATGGCTCTGAAATTTGTTTCCCTAAAAGGATTAATACTTGCTTAGTTAGAGATTTGAGAATAATCTAAATAAGAAAGCAACCAATACAAGAGTCCTTAAACTCTTGTGATGATCAGGCTTCTGATGGAAGTTCTATAACAGTTCTGAACCGCCACTTCCCATCAAGGCCCCATAGGGGTCCAAAACAAAGAAGGTTAAGAAGTACATCTCTAAGCCTCAGGGCTCCTCCTGTGGGGCTGCAGACTCTGACACAAACTTAACACACCTATCCTCAAGGCAGAGAAAGAACTGGCACACGAAGCTATTGTTAAGGGCCCCAAGAGGGCAGAAAAGACGCCCAAGCAACAGGAATCCATAATACACCCAAATTCTAATCCTGTTTCTGAAGAAAACTCTGAAAATTCATGGAACCTGTGCCAATATTTAATAGGCCTCTCTTCATGGTTCTCTAACAGGTGATCTCAGGTCTGTTGTCTTAGATATTAGATGTCCGGGCATGGGGGGGTTGGGGAACGGCAATCTTTCAGCAGTGTTTCCCAGAGCATAGGACAGTATTGCCAAATATATAACTGTAGCTTACAGATAACAGAGTTACTAGCATTAACATATAAGTTCCTCTGCTTGAAATAGAGAAAAAGTCTCAGCATGGCTCCAGTATATCTTTACTATCTGATTAACACTTGCTAATTCCTCTATTTATCAAAGAAAAGGTAGGCTTAGGATCTAAGCCACTGACATGCAACAGGATCTAGCTAAAATTTAAATACATTGCTTTGTTTGCACTATGTTTAAAGTTATTTTTTCTTCATGGAAGTGATACTGCCATTTAAGTAAAGACAGGTTTCATCTTTAAAATTTTAAGGTAAGAAAGTGTTTAGTTTTTTAATATTAGGTATACAGTATAGGTAGTATACAGATTTGGGAAAAATCAAGAATCAACTACTCGAGTAAAATTTGGGCAAATCTCTAGGGCGAAAAAACTAAAAACAGCTTTAAAATCTCTACATTGAATGAGGAATTGAAATTTTGTCCGTTTAATGTGCAAGATATATACTTCTGCATAATCAATCACTCTGTCTGACCCGCCAATAATTTAGAAGGGGGAGGTCACCCTTAATCCACACAATTTCATGCCAGAACCTAGATTTCTTCCTATTACTGCAGACCCCCAGCACCAACTTTATCGAAGAGCCATTACCATCAAGTGTGTGTCTGAAAGAGGCCATGACAGTCATAGAAAGCAATGCTTGCCAACAAGTCAAAAGCTCTATGTTTTTGTGTTACAAATTTCAGACATTTCTTGTATGTTTTTGAAATATTCATTCTGAATAAAACAACTCACTAGGTACCATGAAAGATGCACCATCAACATGGTGTAGCAGAAAGAACACTGGACTAGGAGTCTCAAGACAGGAGTTCCAACCCCAGGTCTACTTCTAACTGGTTATGTCTATAAATTTACCCCATTTCTTTGAAAAATTATTTGAAAGAAAAGGATACTGAATCTTTTTTTTTCTTTTAGATTCTTCTGGATTAGATTCTACAAGACTTCCCAAGTTGTCCAGTCTAGACATAGCCAAAAGTTAATCACCAGGCAGAACACCAGTTTGACAGGAAGAAATAATTTCACTCCTTACCCCATATCAAAGCTATTTTTGCTCCCATCCTGCTTGACTGTCTGAGAAGAGTTAAAAGGAGACCCAGCCATTCCTTCTTCCTTCACAGAGGTCATGAACTTGAGATTCTGAACGCAGGCAAATAAAAATGACCAAAGGAAAAAAAAAAGCCTGCTGAGTAGATCTGGGCAGAGCTGCACTGCTCTGAAACCCAAGACCCTTCAATGATGGGGGACCCAGGGGTTCAACTTCACTGCATCTGTCCTCGAAGTCCTCTGAAGTAGAGATTACAGACTGATGAGTTGCCAAAAGCACTAGACTGGGACTTAAGGGTCCACTAAGGGTTATCTCAACCTGGCTCTAGCATGAACTAGCCATGTGGCTCTGGTTTTAAGGTTCTTCATTTATAATACTAAGAAGGCGAACTAGCTCTAAGGCTGTGTAATTATACTCTAAGATGGCCATAGTCAAATATAGGGTTAACAAAATTTTTTCAGCAGTATTATTTTTAAAAACATAAACCAGAGTTTATTTAAAAGATTACCTTGTATGGTTTTAACACTACCTAAATATATCTATTATATGGGGTACAAGTAAATAATAGCATAGAGGATTGAAGAAGGCATAGAAGAGCTGTCGTTGTAAGATCTTCCAAGTTGGAATAGGGGAGACCCTCACTATATCGAAGTCAATCTCTTTGGTTCTAACTCCTCTCTGGCAGCTTGCCTGCTCAAAAGGTGAAATTCAATTCTCAACGTACTTCAAGGCAAGAAAAAAAAAGTCAACATTATTTTCATCTTCTGACTCACCCACTTAGGGCTTACCTGCATGCACCAACACAAAGCCTCCTCGCTTCTCTTTATGGGACAGCTTTGTTTCCAGCTCTTTGGCTGTTATTTTAATAGCCGAAACTTGAGATGATCTGGAAGGCCCCCCTTCTCCAGAACTCATCCCCTTCTCCATGGTCATTCTCCGAGATTACCATCTTCTATTGGGAAAAGTGCATACTTCCATCCAAAAGTAATTACAGGAGAGGAATTACCCTAAAGGAAAACAGGCAAAGATGGTATGCATTTCTTTCCACTAACACACACATAACTTACACAAATCATGCAAGGATAACTTTCAAAAAACCTAATTTTAAAGTTATTTAACTGGGTAATACAAAGAATATAAAAAGGTTAGAATTTAAAGTTCTTTGTCCACTAACAGTACTTGCTTGAAGTCATATAAACAAAAAAACTGTTGTAAAAAGACTTCATACAGAGTCCAAAAATATTTTATCTTTCATTTTATCTATGTTGAAGAAAACTTCAATATATCACTTTCTACTCCCCCCAAACCAAATGTTAATAATCTCTGGGACATTCTAGAGTCACAGGCGGTGCTGGCAACATGACTGAGCCTTGATATAAAGCATAGACTGTTGCTTACTTCTTTTTTCCAGCTTTATTGAGATATAATTGATATATAACACTGTGTAAGTTTAAGGTATACAACGTGATGATTTGGTTCACATATATACTACAAAATGATTACCATAACAAGGTTAGTTAACACATCCATTACCTTATATAATTACAATTTTGTGTGTGTGGTGAGAACATAAGATCTACAGATTGCTGCTTACTTAAAGAAATGAAGCAACATACAGATTCACATCTGCCTGTGAAGAACCTCTTAAGAAAAACTGTTTAATGTTCCACAGCTCAATTGTAAAACACAAATGCTAACAAAATTATATGACAACCAAGAAATTAAAATAACACTTGTGCAAATACTTGTTAATTTTCTTTTTTTTTTTTTGTGAGGAAGATCAGCCCTGAGCTAACATCCATGCTAATTCTCCTCTTTTTGCTGAGGAAGACCGGCTCTGAGCTAACATCTATTTCCAATCCTCCTCCTTTTTTTCCCCCAAAGCCCCAGTAGATAGTTGTATGTCATAGTTGCACATCCTTCTAGTTGCTGTATGTGGGACACGGTCTCAGCATGGCCGGACAAGCGGTGCGTAGGTGCACGCCCAGGATCCAAACCCGGGCCGCCAGTAGCGGAGCACGCACACTTAACCACTAAGCCACGGGGCCAGCCCAAATACTTGTTAATTTTCATGAAAGCTTTATTTCTGAGATTCTCAACAGATAAATGACAAAATATAAAATTTAATATAACAAATTACTAGCAACTTATACCATAAAGTTTCTAATTTTTCTTACAAGCTCATAAGCTTATAGCAATCTTGGCTTAGTAACAATAATGATAGCAGAATACATTCCAGATCAAGGAAAAATGGATCATTTAAAAATTGACATACAGAGATTTAAAGAAAATCTGAGAGTCAGGTGCTTGAAACTACTTGAACACCTAGATGCACACTGTTAGGTAAAAATCTGTACCTTATTCTAAATTGAGAAATGGGGAGTGGCACAAGTCTTTCTTTTCCAATAGAAAACATAAACAGTAACATAAAGAGTGACTTAGCTGCCTAGTCTAAAAAAATCAGTGTTACTCAAAGTGTGGTCTGCAGACCAGTGTTTGTTACCAGTCTGCAAGAGATTATTATTTTATTAATATATTAATTGCTTTATATGCACATTTTCAACAATGTATATAGTTTTTGTAATTCTTTTCTATTTCCTCATGTTTTGTTTATAATTAATTTTTGAAACAATGTTATCTATCAAATCTAATAAAAATTTGAGCTCTTATTTTTATCTTTCATTCACAGTTCAATATTTCAGTTTTGTTTTTTTTTTTTTGTATTTTACAAAAGAAATGGCCAGCAATGGATTGGAAATTTTTTAAAATTGGTCCTTGACACCAGAGATGGTCTGAGAGGCACTGCAATATGGTATTTTAACTTCCTTTAACTCCTGGTTAAAGAGAGTCCATTTAACTTTTATTATATAACATTTCATTCAAAGGACAAATAGGCTTACATCAAAAATATATATATGCTATTATATTAAAATGTTTAATATATTCATAAATGTAGAAAAAAATTTTTTAATACAAAAGAGTGCTGATACTGATTAAATAACAGTGAATTAAAATGCCTGTTTTTATTTTTGATTTGTGGTGGTGGCTCTCTTTCTAAAGATAGATTTTCTTCCAATGACTTCACAAGGATCTGCCTCAATTACCTTTATTTGACTTTGGTTATTTTTCTGAGATAGGTTACTATTTATTCACGTGTCAGTTGACAAAGTGGGATTTAAATAATTAGTGGTTCACGTGCCAGCCTATACAGGCCATTATGTCTGACTCAGTCATGAAATGAGCTTCGGCCCACTAGTCCCACAAACACAAGTTGAATAAAAATTCGGGCTTTGGAAAATTAAGAGTTTCAGTTAAAATGAAAACACATCTAAGCAGCATAGGTTATTAAACTTCAAGCTACTCTGACTCACTGTCATTAGATGCACTTTTTCATAAATAAGAAATTAGAACATCTACATTTTATAATGAATAAGGTTTGATGTAATAGGCATTTTAATGTATAGGAGAGATTTAAAAACACTGCTTCTCAAGTTTGTCTGAATAAAATAAAATGTGGAACATGAATTAATATGCTATTTCTTGAGCAATCTACCATTCCTCAGAGACTATCTGAAATATATTTATTTAGCAAACCATGTCACGTCAATAAACTCCTCCAAAAAGCTGGCCCCAAAGTTCTGCTGAACTGGGAAAGGAACTCAAGCAGACAGGCTATCAAATGTACAACTCTGGCTTCCAACTCTCCATGATTACCGGAATGTTTCTAACTGAATTAGAAATGAAGCAACTTCTACCCCAACATCAGTTTTTGTTTAACTCAGAACCGATTAAAGGTCTGACTTACCTAATAAATAAAGAGTTCCAACAAATAACTAAAAAGAGACCAGAAAAGAAACGCCAAATGAGCAAATCCTAGTTTACGGAAAAATTGTATAACAGTTTAAACAGATCAAAAGATACTAAACCTCACTCAAAAGAAAAATGCAAAATAAAACTACATTCAAATACTTTTTGATGTTTGCCAATCCAAGTTAAAAAATGGTAAGATAACATCATGTTTTAAGAGTATAGAGAAACAGGAGTTCTCATATATTGCTAGTAACAGCATAAATTAATACAACTCAACAAGGGCAACTTGGCAAAATGATCAAAATTACAAATATACGCTAAAGGACTGTCTGTAATAGGAAATAAATGGACCAACAATATGTCTTGATAGAAGTAGTTAAAAATAAAAGCAGCCACTGGAAAAAAATGAGAACATTCCTGATATACAAATATGGAATGACTGTTCTTGAACATATTTTGGTAAGTATAAAAGGCGCAATATAGAAATACATGCAGTACCATATTTTGAGGAAAGGGAAAAAATAATACAGCTAAATATATATGCAAAGTACAAATCTGGAAGAATAAACCAAAAAATAGTATAACTGGTCACCAGAAGAAGATTTGGATGAAGGATAGACAAAGGTGGGATGGAAATTTCACTGTTCACCATTTGGTACTTTTCAATTTTAAAGAATCTGAATGTATTACTTACAAAAAAATTTATTTATTCATTTATTTATTTATGGGAACACAAGGTAACTAGCTAAATCCAAGTTCTAAAATAAGGGAAGCCTATGAGATCCTACTTAAAAACTGCAGTAAGAAGGGAAATGCCACATTCTGAAACTTCTCAACACTCATTCCACCTAGGGAAGGAACAGACAAAAACATGGCCAATCAACAATACTGGCCCAAGAGGTCTTTTTTGTTTTTGTTTTTCTGGATCTTGAACTTCTGGGTCTGTACAAACTACAAGTAATCCAAATTAAAAAAAAAAAAAAAAAAAATCCCAGTATTTGATCTCTGTAGTTAAGACTAAGAAGTAAAAAAATAAATCATCACTGCAGATTAACATCAAATATCCCTGTGATATTTTTATCACATTTGTAGTCATTATTACAAATCATCTTTTGAAATTGACGAAGTATACTATACATCAGTACATTGATCCACAAGAAAAACATCTAACACTTCATCTAAGCTTTGAGGTAACACTCAACACAAAAGGTTTCCAATGAAAAGAGATGCATAAGCATGTCCTATATTTACACAACAGAAAACAACTGTATAGATCATTTATTTCTGAATAATATGTTTGAATATGGACATTCTGCAATTTCCTACCAGGGATGATATTAAAATTCATTTCACTGGCAACTTGTCCATCCTCTGCAACAGTTGCTTGAAGAGTTAAACACAAAGTTAGCATATGATCCAGCAATTCCACTCCTGGGTATACAGGACATACCTCAAAGATATTGCGGATTTGGTTCCAGACCACCACAATAAAGTGGATATCACAATAAAGCGAGTCACACAAATTTGTTGGTTTCCCAATGTATATAAAAGTTATGTTTATACTATACTGTAGTCTATTAAGTGTGAAATAGCAATACATCTTTAAAAAATGTACACACCTTAATTTAAAAATACTTTACTGCTAAAAATGCTAACTATCATCTGAGCCTTCAGTGAGTTGTAATCCTTTTGTTGGTGGAGGGTCTTGTAAAAAACACATCGGCAAAGTACAGTAAAACGAGGTATGCCTGTATACCCAAGAGAACTGAGAACATGTCCACACAAAAACTTGTACATGGACGTTTATAGCAGAATTATTCATAAGAGTCAGAAAGCAGAAACAACTCAAACACCCATGAACTGATGATGGTTAAAGAAAATGTGGTACAGTAGTTCCTCCTCATTCGAGGGGGATACATTCCAAGACCCCCAGTGGATACCTGAACCCACGGACAGTTCTGAACCCTATATATACTATGTTTTTTCCTATACATACATATCTGAGGTGCAACAACAAGGCCAGCATGAAGTTCCTTTTCCTTCTTCACAATTTCACGGATAGAAGGTTCCTTCTTACCATAGATCTCAGCAACCTCAGCATACAATTTTTTTTTTCCTTATTAAGTCAAGAATGTTCACCTTTTCACTTAAAGGAAGCACTTTACAGCTTCCCTTTGACATATCCAAATTGGCAGCATCACTACTCTTGCACTTTGGGGCCATTACTAAGTAAAATAAGGGCTACCTGAACACAAGCACTATGACACCGTGACGTGACAGTCGATCTGATAACCAAGGCAGCTACTAATGGCTAATGGGCAGGCAGTGTACACAGCATGTATATGCAGGACAAATGGATGATTCACGATCTGGTTGGGACGGAGAGGGATGGCTCAAGATTTCATCACGCTACTCAGAACTGCACGCAATTTAAAACCTACGAATTGTTTATTTCTGGAATTTTCCATTTGATATTCTCAGACCCTGCAGTTGACCATGGGGTAACTGAAACTGCGGAAAACAAAACTGCTGATAAGGGGGGACTACTGTGTATGCATACAATGCAGTATTATTTAGCCATATAAAGGAATGAAGTACTGATACATACTATGGCATGAATGAAACTTAAAAACAATGAAACAAGTCAGACACAAAAGGCAATATTGTATGTTTCCATTTATATGAAAGGTCAAGAGCAGGCAAATCGAAAGACACAGAAAATAGATTAGTGGTTGCCCAGGGCTGGAAGGATGGAGGGGAAATGGGGAGTGACTGCTAATGGGGGCAAGGTTCCTTTTGGGAGCAATAAAAATGTTCTAAAATTAATTGTGGTGATGGTTGCACAATTCTGAATATACTAAATACCACTGAATTGTACACATTAAGTGGGTAAATTATATGATAAATGAAGTATATCTTAATAAAGTTGGGGGGAAAAAAAACTTCCTGCTTCGCATAAATTGTATCTTTACCCATAAGATGTATCTTTTCCAAGTTACCAAAGCTAATCCCCTTTTCTTAATCTTTTGCTTGCAACCTTTGATTCTCCAGATCCCCTGCTCTCCTTGGGAAGCATGCCAATCTACTCCCCTAGCTCTTCACGGCCCCTCTCACCCCTCCCAACTTTGTCCTCTTACATGAATCCCAGACAGCCTGTCCATGGGCCTATTCTCAAATTTCTCCTTCAGCAATTTCATCCACTGCCAACCTTTCAAAACTATCCTCTCAGTAAATCACATGATTCCTAACTCTTTATCTTCTGTCTCTTGAGCTCTAGCCACAAGTCTCCTGGACAGCTCTACCTGGATCCTCCTCACTCTTAGCCCATCTAAAACACTCATCTTTCCCCAGAAATCTAGTTCTTTCCACATTACTCCTTATTTTTCTTAATAGCACCATCCTCTTCTAATTCACCTTAAAGTCATCTTGGACTACACACAGTTTCCAAATCCTATAGATTTGTCCCTCAAGCATTTAACTTCCTTTTCCCTACTGCCTTGACCCTTGTTCAGCTCACATACCTCTTAGTGTAAATGTTACAAAAGGCTTTTTAAATTTTCTCCCCAAATCCAGACTACCTTAAAACAACCACCTACAAAAGGCTGCCAAAATAAATCTCATAAAGGACAATTCCAATGAAGACAAATAGCATGCCAAAAGACATCAGCAGACAATACATAAAAGAGAAAATATAAACTAGATATCCAATACTAAGGAAAGAATTTTCAAAGGAATACAAATAAACATGAAATCTTTCTAACTAGCACTGTACTGTCACCATAAACTGATGTAACCATTTTGAAAAGGAATTTGCTAGTAAGTACCAAGAGTCTTACAATGTACAATTTGGTATACACTATTTCTCCAGAAAGACTCTGTGTATGCACTAGTCTATACAGACACAAGTAACAGTACCATGGATACCTTTAAGGAGAACTGGGAGAGTGAGCCGCAAGAATGAAAGGGAAACTTGATTTTCCCCTAATAACCTTTTCTATTTGAATTTTTTTTTTTTACTGGGTACTATCTACTAAAAAGAGAAGATTTAAGTTAGCCATCTCTGAGGCCAAGATGAAGGTAAATTAACTTGATTATCGAGGCCAGAAGAGAAACTCAGAATAAAACAATGTTTTTACTCCAGGGACTTTCATGGCACCAATTTAAGGTCTAAATCTTGACCTCATTTCTCTCAAAGATTGTTTTATTTTCCTACTGCATGTGATGACACTATTTTTTTTCCTTTAAACCATTTAGAACACTACCATATGTCCTGTTTACCCCTGGTGTTGAAGTTTTTCGCTCCAGATTTACTTGGTCTTTTAGAAGCAGCTGAAGGAGGAAGGAAGTCATGGAATCCATCCATCTTACAGCAAAAGGCTTTTACAGAAACCCAGCCCTTAAGCTATAGCAACTGATGAATAAAGAAGCATTTTGTTGCTCTTAATATCAAGACATTAAAGGTTTAATGCCTCATTAAATGAGCTCTAAAACATACTTATTTCATCTTTGACCCAGTAATTCCACTTCTGAGAACACTTTCTATCAAAATAACTTTAAATACAGAAAAGGTTTTATGCCTTTAAGGCTGTGTTTAATAAAGGGTAATTTAGAAAAACAAAAATCTGGGAGCAACCTAAATGTCCAACATAGAGGAAAAAGTTAGGAAAATGATAACCTATATATTTATGGTCAATTAGTTTTTGTCAAGGGTGCCAAGGCCATTCAATGGGGGAAAGAACAGTCTTTTCAACAAATGACACTAGGAAAACTGTATAGCTACATGCAAAAGAATGAAGCTGGACTCCTCATACCACATAGAAAAATTAACTCCACATAAACCAAGACCTAAAAGTAAGTGCTAAACCTATAAAACTCTTAGGAAAAAACATAGTAAATCTTCATGATCTTGGATTTGGTAATGGCTTTAGATATGACACCAAAAGCTCAAGCAACCAAAGAAAATATAGATAAATTGGACTTCATCAAAATTTCAAACTTTTGTACTTCAAAGAACACCATCAAGAAAGTGAAAAGAAATCCCACAAAATGGGAGAAAATTGAAAAAATATAGCAAATCATATATCTGATAAGGGACTTGTATCCAAACTACATAAAGAATCATATAACTTTAAAATCTTTTAAAAATCAATTTAATAATGGGCAAAGGAACTGACTGGACATTCTCCAAAGATATAAAAAGGGCCAACAAGCACAGGAAAAGATGTTCAACATTATCAGCCATCAAGGAAATGCAAATCAAAACCACAATGAGACACCATTTCACAACCAATAGTATGGCTATAACCAAAAAGATAGATAATAAGTGTTAGCAAAGATATGGAGAAATCAGAACCCTCATATCTTGCTGGTGCAGGCCACGATGGAAAACATCTGGCAGTTCCTCAAAAAGTTAAACAGTTACCATACCACCTAGCAATTCCGCTCCTAGGTATATACCCAAGAGAAGTGAAAACATAAGTCCACACAAAAATTTGTACCTGGATGTTTATAGCAGAATTATTCATAATAGTCAAAAAGTGGAAACAACCCAAATGTCCATCAACTGATGATGGATAAACAAAATGTGGCATATTCATAATAGAATATTATTCAGCCCTAAAAAGGAATGTAGTGCTGATACATAATGCAACATGGATGAACCTTGAAAACATTAAGTGAAAGAAAGGAGACACAAAAGGCCACATATTATATGATTCTATTTACATAAAATATCCAGAATAGGAAATAAGTTCACAGATGCAGAGAGTAGATTAGTGGTTGCCAGGGGCAGGGGGAGCCGGGGAGGGGAGATCTAATGGAGAGTGACAATAATGGGTACAGAGTTTCTTTTGGAGGTGATGAAAATATTCTGGAATTAGATAGTGGTAATAGGTATACAACTTTGCGAATATACTAAAAACCACTGAAATTTACAATTTAAAAGAATGGATTTTATGGTATGTGAATTATATCTCAAAAAAAATCTATCCATGCAATGGATGCAAAGTACGAAAATTATGCTATATTCATATTTTTATACATACACACTATGATTATAAGTAGGTTAATAATATGCTATAAAAAATTAGAAAGAGATCAAAATGCTACGTTGGTGGAACTATAGATGATCTTTCTTTAAATATTTCTGCATTTTCCAGATATTCTTTAATAAGCATGCACTTTATTTAGAGTGAAAATAAAATAATAAAGGGAAAAGCTTTATTTAAAACAAACAAGAAAAGAAATTATTAAACTCCCAGTGTATAAAAATTCCTTAGCTTAGTATTCAACTATCTCAGTCACATGGTCCCCAAAATACCTTTCACTCCTCTCCCCTACAGAGGCGAGGCAAGCTGAACTCCCTCCTTCCGGAAAGACGATGCCCTCTGGTTTCAGGGCCCCTCCAGCTCCCGTTTGCCACCCTCCTCTCCAGCTGCTCCTTCTTCATCTTCTTGGTCCTCTCCTCCTCGTTCTCCTCCCCTGAGCAGCAAATGCTCAAGTCCCGCGGGACTCTAACCAGCCCTCTACCACACCACGGGGCTGCTCTGGCCCCAACCCGACACGAAGCACTAGCGCGCACACCCTCGGGTCTCTAGAAGCCTCGGACTCGGAGAAACGCGCAGCCCCCAACTGCGAAGTGGGTGGAAGGAGTGTGAGGAGCCCACACACAGAGACAGTCCCTTCCCCGGAAAGGGAATGAGACCGCCAAGCTCGAGCTAAGGCTGGGAAGGGGGCCCCACGCGCGACCGAGACTAGAGGACGAGAAACGTCCCAGGTCCCCTCCTTCAGCACCGCCCAGGCAAGGAGCATCCTGCAAGCCGCCCGCTCCCGGCCCGAGAGAGGAGGTCCCAGCGAGCGTACGAGACCCGAAGAGCCGAAGCGGCGCCACAGCGGCAACGGCGCGGACAGCGTGAGAAAGAAGGACACTCACCCGCGTCAGCCCGGAGCCCTCACAGCACCGGAAGTAGTCACCCGCCCGTTGCCAGGGTGAGGAAGCGGGGATGACGTCAAGCTTTCCCATTGGTCGTACGTGAGACCACGTGGCAGGAAGCAGACGCCCACGCGCTGCTCTGTCTCCGCCCGCTGATCTGGAGTGGTCCACCTGGCCGCAGAGGTGCCGCGCGGCCTCCACCTGGAGCCTCGTTTTGAGTTGCGCAGGCGCCGTTGCCTATCTCGCCTCACCCCCGCCCCCCACCCCCCGTTAATGAGCCGGAAGGATGTAACCCTCTGATCGGAGTGGGTAGCCGAATGGCAATATGATACGAAACGAAATGAAAGTAACCATGGTTTATTGAGGTGTCGCTTAAGAGCTTAATTTCATTCAATCCTTGCAGCCCTCCTATACAGTAGGGAAAACTAGGGTTCTGCCTGGTGGCATGTAGGAGGTGGGGGCCAGCCTTGCCCTCGGGAGAATGAAAGTGTAGGTGACCTTTCTTTTACCATCTAGCATCTGAGACCAAGACTCAGTAACATTATGTAATCCCTTTAATGTTTCCTTGTAACTGTTAACATGAATTCTTTAACATATAACCACCTTTAAATCTGCCTTGGGAAGCAGAGACTGAAAGGAGTAAAGCAATAGTTCTCAAAGTATGGTCCCAAGGCCAGCAGCTTCAGCATCACTTGGACTCTTACTAGAAATTCAAATTCTTAGGCCTCACTCCAGATTTACCAAATCAGAAACTTTGGGTTTGGGACCCAACAATCTGTTTTAACAAGCCCTCCAAGCGATTCTGGTGCACCTAAAATTTGAGAACAGTTGAACTAGAAGGACCTTCTCTTTGGCCTAGTTGTAGAGGTGGGGTGCAGTGATGGAAGGAGGTCCTTAGAAGAGAGGGGAGCAACCAAGAATTTGTGCCTCCAGCAATCAAGAATAAGAGCCAGGGAGGCAGTTTGGGGCTAGTATGGGAATGAGACCCCAGAACTGATTCCTGCTCTGGGATTCCTAGATAAAAATGTGTTAATTGGACGGGAAAGATTTCTCAACTGCTAGTAATCCCAAATCCGTTTTAATAGCTTTGTATTATCCAATGTATTTTTCTGCTAATGTTCTTCTCAATGAACAAAAATAAAAGGGTAAAAAAGATCTGTTGTGAAAGTTATCTATAGAAACAGAATTTTAGATTTAAGAGGGAATGTGGGGACCTATATAAAAATAAGTGGTTTGAATAAGGAAAAAAAACAGTGTTTAAATCAAGATAGACAGTGGTAGTGTAGTGGTTAAGAGCAAGGATTCTGGAACCAGGAGAATCTGGATTCATATCTCAGCCTTACCGCTTACCAGTTGTGTCACCTTGAACAATTTACATCTTTCTCAGTTTCCCCATTTGTAAATTGTAAATTGTAAATTTGTAAATTGAGAATGATAATAGTATCTCTCACAGAGTATTGTTTGGAATAAATAAGCTAATAATATATGTGAAGTACTTAGAAAAGTATCAGGCTCATAATAAGTAATCAGTAAATGTTAGTTTAAAAAGAAATAAAACTCCCATTAAGTGCAGGCTTGTTACTATAAAATACACAAAGATTCAAATTTCTTTCTCAAATAAATGTCACGCAAGTTTTTAATACCAGTTTGCTCTTGGAGTAACTGTTATTAAAATTTGGAAAGTAAATTAGTACTGTATAATTGGGAGGTGAATTCTGTATAATACGGGCATTCGTGTATTCACCAAATAATTAGACCTTACACATTATACGTGAGAGGTGCTGGAGAAGTGAAGGCTTGAAGGGAGGATTGGGGGATCAGAGGAGTCAGCAACCAGGCAATCCCAGAAGCTAAGCACACCCAGCCCCCAAGGTAGGACCACCGAGAAGCAGCTGTACCAGTCACAAGTGTACATATATAAAACAAAAAAGCTACAGAATCGCTAATACAAGTATTATAAATTTAGTCTGTATAGGATAGTAGTTATTTGGAAGACTTTGAAATCAAATAAACCTGAGTCTATCTCCTGGATGTACCACTTACTAGATGCCTAATAGTGAGAAAGTTACTTAGCCTTTCCTAACTTCATGTTCCTCATCTGGAAGAAGGAAATAATACCGACTTCATGGTATTGTTTGAGGATAATTGATGTAATGCATGTAAAATATTTAGGATATCAGCCTTGTAATAAGTGCAATGAGTAAGCAATTAGTACTATGACTATAAAAGAGGTAACGTAGGAAAGTATTTGAGAAAGCACAAGAACAGGGAAGGGAGAGTCAAGAAAAGACACAAACATTTCAAGCAGAGAAAACAACCTATAAAAAACACATAGACTTGTAAAAGACTGAATTCTGGGAACTCTAAGTATCTCGTTTCTAGTGGGGCATAAAATGGCAAGGAGGGCTGGCTACTGAGTGAGGAATAAATCACGAAGGCCTTACGCCATTCTGTGGAGTTTTGATTTTAGCCCATCGTCTGTGGGCAGCTACTGTGTAATTTTGAACAGAGTAGTGACAATAATCGGATGTGTATACCGGAAAAGTCAGTATGACATTTCTTAAGCATGACATAAAACCCAGAAGCCATAAAGAAAAAAGTGGACAAAATTTATTGCCATGAAAATTCAAAACTTCTATACAGCAAAAATCAGCAGAAATGAAGCTAAAAGATCAGCGATAAACTAGGATAAAACATTTGTAACCTTTATATTTTTAAATGAGTTCATTTTATTGTTAGTTCCATTGAGTCCCACTAGGATTGAATTCCCAATCCTAGTGACCCTGTGTACAGCAGAGCTGAACCCTGCCCAGCCTTTTTGCACCATCCTCTCATCTTCCGGCACTGTATCAGACAATGCTCCCTGCTATTCATAGGGTTTTCATGGTCAATTTTTTCTTTTTCTTTTTTTTTTTTTTGTGAGAATGATTGGCCCTGAGCTAACATCCATGCCCATCTTCCTCTACTTTATATAGGATGCCACCACAGCATGGCTTGACAAGCAGTGCATCGGTGTGCACCCAGGATCCGAACCTCCAAACCCTGGGCCGCCAAAGTGGAGCATGCACACTTAACCGCTGCGCCACCAGGCCGGTTCCCCCAATTTCTTTCTAAAGTGGGTGGCCAGGTTCTTCCTAATCTGTCTTAGTCTGGAAGCTTCACTGAAACCTGTCCACCGTGGGTGACCCTGCTGATATTTGAAATACCAATGGCGTAGCTTTCAACATCACACTAACATGAAGCCACAATATATGACAACTGACAGATGGGTCTTGTGGTTCCCTGACCTGAAAATGAACTCCGGCCTCAGTGATGAGAGCACCAAATCTTAGCCACTGCATCACCAAATGAGTTAATATGTGTGATATATAAAGCTTCTTTAAATCTTTAAGAACTCAGGGGAATAATCAGCCAACAATATAAGTGAGCAATTCTCTCCCTTGCTCTCTCTCCCTTTCTCCCCTTTCTTCCCCCACACAAGTACACGTGCAATTTATGAAAAGATGTTCCACCTCACTTAAAAGACCAAGATAATTTTAATTGCCAGTTAAAATAGACAGAAGTCTTCTTCTATCTATTTATCTAAAATTTTAAGACTGATACTATCCGGTGTTAGTGAGGACTGGGACAGCAATCCCTCTTGTACGTTGTTGGAGGAATACAGATTTGCACAAATTGTTGAAGGGCAATTTGATGATCATCTATCAAAATTTTAGATGTACTTAACCTTTGACCCAGAAGATCCACTTTTAGGAGTCCACCTACAGTACTTCCATATGTGCACAAAGATATATATTCATGCAACACATATTTATCAAATGGTTTCTACAAGCCAGTCTCTGTTCAAAGAGGTTTATGGCAGCATTGCTTGTGTAGTAGGAAAAAAAAGTGGAAACAATTTGAATTTCTATCAATATGGACTAGTTAAGTTATAGAAAATGCAAACTGTGTGATGATGCAACTATTTTTTAAAATATATTAAGATGGAAAGATGTTCAAAGCATATGGTTAACTAAAGAAAAATGCAAAATAATATTTTTATATGTGTCTCCATGTGGGTATATTTATTTATTTATATTTACATATACATACATATACTGTATGTAGGGAAAAGGGTTAGAAGGTTATGTACCAAACTGTAAATGGAAGTGAGATTGGATTGAGTTGGGGGGTGAAATGCTTTTTATTTCATTTACATTAATAACTACAGAACATTTAGAATTGTTGAAAAAAATAGAGCAAGTGTCCTTTTACTTACATAAAAGGAAATCCCCAGAAGCCAAAAAACAAGGGAGAAATCCAGAGTGGGAAGCCATTGCTGAAGGCCCATTTCTCCTGAGGGCATTTACAGATAGCAAGAGTCTAAGATTTAGGTTTTTATAGCCCATAAGATGAGAAGCAGAAAAGCACAAATCACCTTCAGTAAGAACAGAAACAGTAGACGGCAGACTTTAATCTCATAGGCTTCAGATTTTGAAGTCATTGGATAAAGAATATAAAATAAATATGTTTTTAAAAATAAATGAAGGAGTAGAAAACATGAGCAAAGAATAAGGAAGTACCAAAAAATAATCTGGTAGACTTGAAAAATTAAATAAAAAATCTAGAAATACAAAATTAAGCATTGAAAAATATACAAACTAGATGGGTTAACATCACTTAGACACTGCTTAAGAAAGAATTAAGCAAACTGGAAGGTAGATATAAAGAAATTACCCAGAATGAGGATCAGAGAGACAGAGATGGAAAGTATGGGTGAGACGTTAATAGACATGGAAGATAGAATGATAGGGATAGAATGTCTAATATACATATCATTAGAATTCCAGGAACATAAAAGGATGAACTGAACAGGGGAGAGGAAATATTCTAAGATATAATGGCAAAGAATTATCCAGAATTGATGAAAAACAGAAACTCTCAGATTCAGGAATCTCATGAATCTCAAACTGGATAAAGAAAAAGAATCCAAACCCAGACACATTATACTGAAATTTCATAAGACCAAAGAAAAAAATATCTTAAAAGCAACCAGAGAGAGAAT